GACTCCTGTCGGGGCTACTTCGATGTCATGGGCCAGTGGGACCCACCGTTCAACTGCAGCTCGGGCGACTTCATCTTCTGCTGCGGGACTTGTGGCTTCTCATTCTGCTGCACGTTTAAGAAGCGGCGACTGAACCAGAGCACCTGTACCAACTACGACACACCGCTCTGGCTCAACACAGGCAAGCCCCCAGCGCGTAAGGATGACCCCTTGCACGACCCCACCAAGGACAAGACCAATCTGATCGTCTACATCATCTGCGGGGTGGTGGCTGTCATGGTGCTGGTGGGCATCTTCACCAAGCTGGGGCTGGAGAAAGCGCACCGGCCCCAAAGGGAACACATGTCCAGGTGGGCTGCCTCCCCTCGCCCTCCTCTATGGGTCCACTTTCCTTTCCCTCCCATCCCAGCATCCCTAGCCATGGTTCTCCCCACCCCAAGGTTCCCGATTGGGGAATGTCACCCAGGATAACAACTTTCGCTTGCAGTATGAAACGGAGGCACTGAGCTTAGCACAGGTGGGGTGAACGCCAAGTGTGAAAGGGGAGGGTCTCTTTCCCCCCTCGCCCACTTGCTGTGCCCTCACCGGAGATGGTGGTGGGACTTGTAACACAGCGGGGTCTCGAAACTCTTGGGTTTTGGGGGAGAGGATCCGTTGATTTTACATGCTCCTCTCTAGGTAAACAGAGGCAGGCAAACTTGAAAAGGGAGGGGGAGGGTGTGATCCCTCGTGCGCGTGTGTGATGGAGGAAGAGGGGGGAGTGAGTGCCTCCTGCAACTCGTACACTAGCGAAAATGAAGCAAAGGAGAGGGAGAGTGCGTGGAGGGAGTGAGGACAAAAGCCTCCTTGGAGCCGGCCGCTTTGCTTTCCCAGAGCTTTGATGGCCCTTGATTGGAACCTCATCTCTCCCCTTGGTCCTTTTCTCCCTCACCATCTATCTTTATGCTGCGGCCATCATAACACTGCGCCCCTTGCCTGGGTTGGAGCAGCCTCTGAGGCCACAGTCCTCCACCTTCCAAGCACCTTGATTCGTCAACTTTGCCTTTCCCTTTATTATGCAAGTCCCAACACGGGCAAAGTCGCAGGAGATGGGAGAAAGCATTTGGGGATTAATGGAGAGCTATTTGCCTTTTTGTTTAACCCCTTTCCTGAGTGTCTAAATTGGTTCCCAGAACTCAATAACTTTGGAGGAGAAGGATTCAGACTTGAGCCCAGCCCCAGGGGAAAGATGAGGGGTTAGTGTGAGGTCTGGGCAAAGAGATGAAAGGAGAACTACCACAAGGTCCCCGCTGACAGCCGGATGGCTGGAGCAAAAGCTGACTTTGAGTCTGGGCGTTGAAGTCACTGTGTTCTCTTCACCCTCCAATCTACACCCACCCCCACCCCGCACTGGGGTCCTGTGTGTGCGCATGTGCGCGCACTTGTGTGCATGTGTGTGTGTATGCGTGAGTGTGCGTGCATTCGATCCATGTACTTGCTTAAAAATCTGAACAAAGAGACCCACCAAAAATAGGCGAAGGAACATCACTACCTCACTAGTAATTATTTTCTATTTATATGTGGAAGAGTATCCAATGAGTTCTTTTCTCAGAGAGAAGAGAATTGGAGGGGAAGGTGGGGAAGGTCTGATCAGTGTGGGTTAGTGAGGAGGTCTAGGTAGATGGTGTGGTCTTGGGGCACAAAAGTAACCTTCCAGGGGGTCCAGGAAACCAGGACCAAAAGAGTAAGGCACTGGCCCAGCCTATCTCCTGCTACCTCACAGTGCCCTGTCAACTAACTCCAGCTTCCAGGTGTGTTCTCTTAAGGAGAGCCTTATCCAGGGAAGTCTCCATGTCATTGTTAGGATGGGGGTGAGAAATGGAGGCAGGTCTGTAATAGGATGTTGCTATGTAGGGAGCTAGTGCTCAGACGCAGGTAGGTTGCCTTGCTGACACCTTAACTGGGCCTGAAATCTCCACCATGCCTTTTTGCTAAGTTCTCAGGTCTCCCTTTTGGGGATTTGGTGACAAGAGGAGCCACTGTTTGCAGATCTGTGGGAGGGGTCTATGCCACAGCTTCAAGTTTTCTTAGATTGGGCACTCTGGTTAAACCTGTCCTAATCCCTCATCCCAGGCAGCTGTTTTGGAGGCATTGACTCCAGTTTTTCTGCAAGTTCTAGGCAAGATCTGTTTAGAGGCAACACCCAGGACTCCCCAGCTCTGGCATAGCAGCACCTTGATTCATTCTTCCTAAAAACATTCTAGAATGTTCTAGAATGCAGTGAATGTCTGGCTAGGCAGAAGACTTGATTATGTTAACTGGCAGCTTCTTAGGCATGCTTTCAAGCTTGCTGCTGTTTGAGACCACCTGTACTGCTTAAAGTGCCTGTTGTGCGTGTGTGTGGGTACTTTGACTTTAAATTAGAATGTGGAGTGGGAGCCAGGTACCATTGGGCTGGCAAAGCTCTTTGGGTGATTCTGTGAAGGAAAAAGAATAAACACCTGCTGAGCACAGGGCTGGGTGCCAGGGATTGTGAGGTGTGTGTGTGTGTGTGTGTGTGTGTGTGTGTGTGTGTGTAAAAACTCGGATTTCACAGCTAGCCTATGAGACAGCTGTTAGTTTAATTCCCTGTTTACATAGGAGAAAATCATGGCACAGGTGAAGTGGCTTTGCTCAAAGCCACACAATTAGAAGGCAGTTGTGCCGTCCATAGTAATACTGGTCTGAACTCACTTACACCTGAGTCATATGTTTTCAGGCCCAGCATCAGAATCTGGGGAGCTTCCCAAGGTGCAGACTTCTAATTCTTGCTTTGGAGATTGAGAGTCAGTATGTTTGGAGTGGGCCCCAGACTTCTTCTTTAGCACCCTCTTTCAGTGAATATGAGATCCAGGAGAAACACTGGCCTTGAGTTTGGAAATACTTTACAAAGGCGGGAGGCTCAGAGTTAATCCAAGAGAACAGTGCAGACCAGTGTGACTCTTTCTGCATTCAGTAGCTTGTTTTCCCCACTTGTATAACCTTCCTGTGGCACCCTGACTGCCCCAGGTCCCTTGGGATGCATCATGTACTGCTTTTGTACTTAATCATTTGGAACCCAGTGTGGCAAAGGCTCATTAGCTTTAGCCTTATGGTTCTAAGATCTTCCAGCAGGGACCAGTACCCCAAGCTTAGTAGCAAAGAGGCTGCTCTGAGGTGAGGCACATTCTAGATGAAGTTAATCTGCCAGCCACAGCCTCTTAGTGTCTTTCAGGTGCTGCAGGATGCAGACAGGGGTTTATTCTTATGTCGCCTGGGAAGCACCTGGTCAAGGACATGGAGGTGGTGGTGTTCCTCTGTGCTCCTCATCCCAGTGACCAGTAAACTAGTGTTTTCCAGTGAAGGCCCCTAGCATGTCAGAATGCACATTTGGAGTTCTTGGCATATGGCCTGCTTCCTTCTGGACAGTTGAGGGGCTAGGGAGATGGTTCAGCGGGGAAGAGTGCTTGCTGTGCAAGCATGAGGACCTGGGTTCAAATATCAGCACCCACATAAAAAACTCAGCACTGTGGTGAATGGCCGTAACCCTAGAGCTAGAGGTGGAGGCAGGTGGATCCCAGGGCCTTGCTGCATAGTCAGTCTAACCAGTTGGTGAGCTCCAGGTTCAATGAGACACTCTGTACCCAAATGTAAAATGGAGAGAATAGAAGAGGGTATTCAGACACTGACCTCTGGCTTCCACATGTCCCCATACACAGTCAAGTGCACCTCTCTCCCCCCACAAGCATACAACACTGTAGGAGGGGAGAGGGAGAGAAGGAGAACGAGAGCCGTGGATGCACCACTGCAGCACCATGGCAGCAGCCACTGTTTCTGGAAGATGTGACTGCAATGGTGGCTAACTGTGGCCATTTAAAACTCCTGGATAGATATTGTTTGGTTTACAAAGTGTTAGTTACTATTTATGTATCTTCAAAGTTTTCTGTGTGTTGTTTGGAGACAGAGATTGACTGTGTGGCCCAGGCAGCCCCCTAACTTGTTGTCTTCTTGGCCCAGGTTCCCAGTGAATGGGTTTATAGGTATATGCCACCATAAGTTTCTACTATGAGAAAAATTTAAACATTCAAAAACCTTGAAGGTAATATGAGGAACTGCAGGACATTTTTTGCTTGATCACAGCCTGTCACCCCTGGCACTATTTATAAGGGCTGGCTAGGAACCCATGTGGTGGGAACTGTATTTGGCAGCATCCTTGACCTCTACCCATTGAGTAAATGGCACCCCCTACACCTGTCATGACAGTAGAAAATGTCGCTACACACTGTCATATGACATGAAGGAGTCCAATCCCTCCAGTGAGAACCACTAATCTTAATTAAACTAGCTTTACAGTGTTGTCAGATTTGCTTCATTTTATGCTTTCCTCCTGTTTCTTTTGACCTTTATCCCCCTTCCATGCATCTCCCCTTTCTTCCATTCTTCTCTCCTTTCTCCCTTCCTCCCTCCTTTTCTCTACTTCTTCCCCTCTTCCCTTCCTTCCTTCCTCCTGCCCTTCCTCCCCTGCCTTCTTCCTTCTTATACCCCCTCAGCTGAACCATTTGAAAATAAGTTGCAGCATGGGTCTTCCCACACAATACAATTCCATGAGCATAACTTAGAAAGAGAACAAAAATGCCACACTGTCATTGTATGTCCAATCATATTAAGGTCTCCTTCTCATATCTCAAATGTCCTTCAGAGTTTGACTGTAAGTCTGGATCTGGTAAAGGGGTGTTGTAAATGGCTGTGATATCTCTTTGGTCCTAATATTCATGCTATTTTAAAACCAATGCCCAAGTCAGTGGCTAGTACTGAAAAGCTGGGTTTCTCAGAGAATTCCAATTTCTGATTCATCTGGTCTGTTTAGGAGATCGGGTAATCCATACCTGCAGGCTTCACATAGCAGCACTGGTTGTGGCTGGGTGGTGACTGCCCCCTTTAGAGATTCCTTACAACTCACTTTATTATGTCTCCTGTGAACCTGAGAGCATCAGGAGGCTGTGTGAATGGCACATGCTCCCAGCAGATCTAGTGAAGCCTTAATATTTGTGTGACCTTGGGAAGGTTGTTTCACCTCTCTGAGACTCTGGTTCTTATCTGAAGGTTGAGAATTCATAGAGGGGCAGACTTGGAAAGTGATTAACGTATCTAGAATCACCACCCAGCATCCTTCTTACTGGAATTCCTTCCTCTTGTTCACTGAAGGGGGTGACATTGCAGCTCAGACCACAGTGACCAGTCTGTACTTTGTACTCGGTGGCAGTGGCCAAGTCTCCTAACCTCTCTGGATTTGCATTTCCATCTGATCAGGGAAGCTGGCAGTCTCTGAACAGGAGGGATGGCTTGTGTGTGA